CCACGTAAATAATAAGGAAAATTATATAGGTCCTCTTTATCAAAAGGAAATACCTAGCACCAAAGAAAATCTATTATGAGTGTAGCTTATATTTAATGCTAGGAAGCTACGGCGTATTCCTTGATGAATTTCTTCTTTATATCAAGAAAATAATTAGAGTATTAGGAAAGATCATTATAAAAATAAATAGACGTAAGATATCTATATTATTCAATGAAACATCTTTGAATGAACATATGCTGTATATATATATATATATATATATATATATATATATATATATATATATGTGTGTGTGTGTGTGTGTGTGTGTGTGTGTGTGTGTGTGTGTTAATAAAAGGTAAGAGGAAAAAACATTTTTAGCCGACGTGTTTCGTCCTCTGAGGTGCTTTATCAAGGAATATTTAGGCTTATTTTGTTGCACCTGTTTACATGCAAAAGCAAGGATGTCATTGGTTTATCAAGGGTTTTAAATTGGAGAGCGTTCATGAATGTTTATCAGGTGGCTGAAAGGTTAGACAAAGCCCGTGGCATCCTTGCTCTTGTATTTAAACGCGTGCAACAAAATAAATCCTATATTTTCCTTGATAAAGTCCCTTATAGGACGACATGCACCAGCTAAGAATAGTTTTTCCGCTTGTCTTTTTATTCGTTTTGGTTCTTTAGTAGGTTCCTTGGTAGGTATACCGTTGTTTAATTACCTATATATTGACGTGACTGTTTATTTCTTTTTATAGGTATTGTGAATAATGGCAAACAATTTGAGTCAAGAACAAAGAAAGTGGATTCTAAAGCAGTACTGCAATATTGAATATCTCGTGCAGGTGTGCAAAGCTTGGAGAGAAACTTTTGATACCGTTTAATTTATAAAAATAAAGACTAATTTAAAAAACGGGGTTTTGTAGACGTTCGAGGAATGTTGAAAGGATGAAGGAGTACCTTTCGAGCACTCACGAGATTAAACAGTGTATAAAAATATGCAGTTGTAATAAATAAATGTAATAAAATGTAAAAAAAACCTCTGTAAATTGTATACTTGCTTTTAGCCCACACACACACTATATATATATATATATATATAATAAAATGTATTAAGTACGACAATTATTTTAATATATTTTCTGTGTATACGTTATTTTTTATGGATATAATTTATTTAAGTAAATGCTCTTTTTTTAAAATTCAAACACTATTAATTAAATTTACCGGCCTGAATATTCGAGAAATTTCGTCGAATATATGTGCTTCTCTAAAAAAAAGAATTGAACCTGTATCTTTAATGGAAAATATCACTTGACCTGACGTACTCTGAAACATTCAGCCATAAAAAAGCGTCTGGTTAACAAAATCCTCGAAGCATATATGTTTTACGAAATTTCTCGAACATTTAGGCCGCTTTTATTTCCTAGTATATACATTATATGTATTAAACAACTTAGGACACACCACCTTTTGTTTGAACCAACCCATTTTTAAAGGTTAGCAAAACTATTGCAACGCGTGACTGAGAGGTGTTTCTTTTGTATTTTAGATTGATTGTTTAAACATTAAATAGCTCTGAATGACTACTCTTGCTTTTAGCCTTGGGTTTCACCAGTAAAGACTGCATTTCTTGTTAAAAATTATAAGCCAATATGAAAACTAGAAGGAAAATCAATCACAGCCAATGGACAAATATTGGGCATAGTAAACACAATAATTAGGAATATCCTGTAAAAGAAGGAAACTACTTATGTACTGAACACCACACATAGAACAGGTCGGCCAAGGAAAACAACTTTAGTTGATGACAGGAACACTGTGAGAGCTATGAAGAAAATGTCAAAACAAGAGCCAGTGACATCACCAAAAATCTCCATAGTGCAGGGGTGAAGGTTTCCCAATCCATCGTTGGAAGAAGACTTCGGAAAGGCCCAAGTGTAGAGAAAGAAAGAATTTGCTTATGATCCAAAACATACAAGCATGGTGAAAACAGTGGCTTGCATAGATGCTTCCGGAACAGGCTCAATTCTGTTTATTGATGATGTAACTCATGATTGTAGCAGCAGAATGAATTCAGAAGTCAACAGAAACACGTTGTCTGCCATTTTACTGAGAAATGCATCCAAACTAATCGGACGGATGTTTATCATGCAGTAGGAAAATGACCCAAAGACGTATGGTTTATCAACCGCATTGTTCAAAAGCAGAAAATGTTTTTGATTTTATGAATTTTTGGGAGGTAATAATAACTTGCTGATAAAATTCATACTAATTAATCCATAGCAGGGGGAAGAAGAGATGAATTCATACCTTTCCCAAAGGTAATTGCGTATATGACTATAACGGACCAAACTGGAATTGAACTCAGTTCTACTATTTCAAATTCCAAACCGTTTTCCATTACACTACCCGACTATCTGAGGCGATATTTTATAAGCATTTTCGGAGAATTACGCATCCCGCAAATAAGATTTTCTCCTTTTTGCTCTATTATAGTTGGCTTGAATTAATTAGAAAAAGAATCTGAACATTATCTAACTTCAGTTCTCAGCTACGAATCTGTCATTCATAAAATAATATGGTGATTGTCTTGCGAAGCATTTGAAATAGATTTACGCTATGCACGAAACACAACAGTTGATGTCCGAGTCAAACTAAAATCACAAATTCCGGATGCTGGCTTTATCGATAGACAGAGTCTATCCTCATAGAAGATTGGTCATGCTGTGAGCGGGATCTTTATAGGCTCTCTCCTATCTTGGCCTTGTTCCATACTAAGCTAAGCTCAATAGCTGTCTATATTTCTGGGATGAGGCATTGTAATTATTTACGCTATTTACATTGTTCGGACTGTCGTTCTCAACTTTGTTGCCATATTCACGACGTTTCGGCCGTTGTACGCTCTGGCCATCATCAACTGTTTGCCGGGAGCATACAACGGCCGAAACGGCGTGAATATGGCAACAAAGATGACGTCAATCACCTGAAGAAGACCGGAGCGTACACCGGCTAAAAATATGGCAACAGAGATGAGACCAGTAGTCCGAAAAATTGATAAATTGATAAGCTTGATAAATATAGTTAATACCGCCACGTATTTCTTCTAGATAATTTCATGTTGGTGGCAGTGAAGATGAAAACAACGAAACAGCTTTCTCAAACAGCGATTTGGATTTCTTTCCTTGGGAATGGTCATAGAGAAATCAACCGTTTCCTTATAAGGAAGCATTAGCGTTCATATTTCTATTAGCGTTAGTGTCGGTTGAAATTTATAAAATCTTTCTTTTGAAAAGTTTTCAAGGAATATAAATTTATCGTATCCAGTGACTGTTATGGATCCTTCTAGTAGTGATGAGTTTTGTCATACTAACCTTTTATCGAAGGTTGTGTGGAAAGTCAACATCTTGATTATGTCATTTTATTCTTTTAAGTGTATATGTGTATCCATTTTAATTGTTACTGTTCTTGGAAGTTTTAATGTATGTAGTTTTTCTTATATGTTAATTCTTTTTCTGTAGAGCTAGTCTAGGAGACCTTATAAATGGTTGTCTTCTTTAAGACGTGCAGGGTTCATTCAAGTGAAGCCATTTTTAATCGTTGATAACTTGGATTCGCTGAGCGTCGATCTGTCAACCCAACCCTCGTGTCAGGTTCGTGATGGCACGTCTTTAGTCCCCATCATGTCACCTCTGTAAGTAAATAAGAAAGACATGGAAATGAAATGCTGTGGCAGGATGATGGTAATAAAAAAAATATTTGTTTTTATAATGGTTGCAGGAGCAGAATGTAACGGGAGCGGGGAAAGAATTAAGGAAATCGCTCGAAAAAGTTGAAGAATTGGAAGAAAAAATACGAAAAATATATAGAAGAATCAAGAAATGGAAAGTGGATTTTCAGAGAAATTTCGGAAAAGATTAAAAAAAATTATTTGAAAATGGTTAAGCTTAAAACAAAGGCTAATGTCAGAAAGAGAATAAGCACGTAGTCTCCTAAAAAAAATATATATATATCGACGTTTAAAATTTGATCAAGGACAAGGAGTTGTCGATAAGTTGCCAATTGAAAAATGGGAAAGTAAAGGTTAAAATGTTGGTAGAAATGTAGATAGTAAGAGAAAAACGGATAAAATCATGCCGAATGAAAGTGGAAGTCACAGTGAAAGGAAAGAAAGGAAGAAAAGAAACAAAAGCACAGAGGAAAATAAAAAATATATATATATGAATAAAAAAAGAAAGAAAGAAAGAGCAAATATCGAGAGAAAATTACGAAAAAAAAAAGTTAAAACTAAAAGAAAAATTAAAAATTGAAATCTTTTCTTTTTATGTACCATATCCTTTCAGGACGTAGGCGATCATGGCTCCCCACCTTCCTCTATCCCTTGCACCTATCAACAAGTTACCATCCCTCTGCCACGCACACCCTAGACCACGTTCTGTCATCCACTTGTTTAAGCCAGCTAGGTATGGCATGCGTTGTTTTCCCTTGTCTCTTTCTTTCGTTATTCGACCTGTGAGCATCAGATTCTCCAGGCCTTCCTTCCTTATGTATTTCAGAAACTTCGGCTGCCTCTTCCTGATGTTAAGTACACGCTTCTTCCTGCTTTGCATCATCTTCAAGATCTCATTGTTGCTTTCACGCTCGGTCCATCACATCCTCAGCATCATTCTGTAGAACAACATCTCCGTCGCCTCGAGTCACTTCTTTGAGGAGAGCGTCCAACCTTCGCTGCCGTAAAGGAGAACAGATGCCACATAACAGGTCAGTACTCTTTTGCTTTGTTACCAAAGAAATTCTCCTGTCTCGCAATACTCTGCCCAGCTTTTTACGGATCTCAGTGTCGCATTTACCGTCCTCTGTCAGAACACTTCCCAGATATTTAAACTTCTGCACCTGCTTGATTTTGGTGCCCTCGACTTCCAAATCGCATTTTGGGCTTACCCTTTCACTGGGGAACATGCATTATGTCTTCTTGTAGTTTATGCTTAGTCACTTCTTCTTGCTCTTCGTCGCCACCTTCTTTAGGAGATTCTGTAATAAAAATAAAAACGAAGAAAGAAAGAAGATGGCAATAAAAAAGTAAAAGATGACAGGAAAAAAAAGCAAAAAAAGCAAAGAAAAATTAAATAATTGAAGCAAAGAGAAGGAATGAAAGAAAGACGAACAAAGAAGATTTTGATGAAAAAAAAGAAGAAAGCGAAAAAAAGAAAGAGAGGAATGAAAATCAAAAAGTAAATGAAATAAAACAAAAAAAACAGTACAAAGAAAAACAAGGAAGACAAGAGTAAGAAAAATGAAATACAAACTTAAAAAAAAAATTGAAAGGAAAGAGTTAGGCGAAAAGGAAAAAGAAAAAAAGAATGTAGAAGAAAAAGTTAAATAATGACAGAACAAAAGAGAAAAAGAAGAAAAAAAGTGATCAGTAAAAAAAAAAAAAGATTAAGGTAAAGAGAGAAAGAAAAAAAGACGAAAGTAACACTAACGAGGAAAACAAAAACCCAACACTCGCAGCCTGACGATTGCGTCTAACATAAAACAGCCTGTCGCCTCTGAGTGTTGGATTCAATGTTCACTATATATATATATATATATATATATATATATATATATATATATATATATATATGAGAGATACACAAAATTCTCAGCTTAAGACAGAACCCTTTCGAAAAAATATTCTGATGTTTGGTCAGATTTTAAGAAATGGTTCAATCAAAAGATTTTTCAGTATTCCTTCGTTTGCATGCAAAGATATAGTTACCAAAAATCTTATAAGAATACATTTTGATTGAAACTCAATTATGATATTGATAGACGGGGCTGTAGAAGAAAATACATTGATTCTTCATTTTAAAGAATTTCAAGAAGAAAAATTAAATAAATGTAAAAGCTCTGCAACAAGAATCTAAATGCTTACCTAACAATAGTTTTCTGAAAGATTTTAAGTCCACTTTTCGTATCAATCAGTGGAATTTTTGTTTTTTTTAATGCATTTTCCTGGACATGCAAGTATTAAATAAATGAAGATTTTAAATAAAAGTATTTTTTGAAGTTTACTGATTTCCATTTTAATGCATGGTTATAAAGTAAATGGAAAAGTATAACAATGGAAAGGAAAAGGAATCAAAGGAAAGAAAAAAGAGGAGAAAAGATTAAAAAACAGAAACGAAAAAAAAAAAAAACTATCGAAAGAAGAAAAAGACGAAAATGTAAATAAGAAAAAGTATACTATTTACATTATTCAGACTATTGCCCTCATCTTTGTCGCCATATTTATTACAACGTTTCGGCCGTTGTACGCTCCGGCCTTCTTCAGGCGTTTGGAATGTCGAACAACCCTTTATTTCGCTCACTGGGGTAGACTCTTCAAGTTCCACGTGCCATGTCTAATGGATATCAGTTATCAGTTATCTCCTGTTAATTTCACTCTCCAAGTTCTCCACTGCCTTAACCAGGTATTGAACTCACACTCTTTGGGTCCTGTCACTGGAACTAACTAACGCCTTTAGAGCAGTCTACCTCAGTGAGCGAAATAAAGGGTTCAGTTCGACATATCAACCTCCTGAAGAAGGCCGAAACGTTGTAATAAATATGGCGACAAAAATGGGGACAATAGTCCGAATAATGTAAATAGTGTACATAATACCTCATCTCAGAAATATAGACAGATACTGAAAGGCCGAAACGTTGTAATAAATATGGCAACAAAGATGAGGACAATAGTCCGAATAATGTAAATAATGTACATAATACCTCATCTCAGAAATATAGACAGATACTGAAAGGCCGAAACGTTTTAATAAATATGGCGACAAAGATGAGGACAATAGTCCGAATAATGTAAATAATGTACATAATACCTCATCTCAGAAATATAGACAGATACTGAAAGGCCGAAACGTTTTAATAAATATGGCGACAAAGATGAGGACAATAGTCCGAATAATGTAAATAATGTACATAATACCTCATCTCAGAAATATAGACAGATACTGAAAGGCCGAAACGTTTTAATAAATATGGCGACAAAGATGAAGACAATAGTCCGAATAATGTAAATAATGTACATAATACCTCATCTCAGAAATATAGACAGATACTGAAAGGCCGAAACGTTGTAATAAATATGGCAACAAAGATGAGGACAATAGTCCGAATAATGTAAATAATGTACATAATACCTCATCTCAGAAATATAGACAGATACTGAAAGGCCGAAAAGTTGTAATAAATATGGCAACAAAGATGAAGACAATAGTCCGAATAATGTAAATAATGTACATAATACCTCATCTCAGAAATATAGACAGATACTGAAAGGCCGAAACGTTGTAATAAATATGGCAACAAAGATGAGGACAATAGTCCGAATAATGTAAATAATGTACATAATACCTCATCTCAGAAATATAGACAGATACTGAAAGGCCGAAACGTTCTAATAAATATGGCAACAAAGATGAGGACAATAATCCGAATAATGTAAATAATGTACATAATACCTCATCTCAGAAATATAGACAGATACTGAAAGGCCGAAACGTTTTAATAAATATGGCGACAAAGATGAGGACAATAGTCCGAATAATGTAAATAATGTACATAATACCTCATCTCAGAAATATAGACAGATACTGAAAGGCCGAAACGTTTTAATAAATATGGCGACAAAGATGAGGACAATAGTCCGAATAATGTAAATAATGTACAATACCTCATCTCAGAAATATAGATAGATACTGAAAGGCCGAAACGTTTTAATAAATATGGCTGAAGACAATAGTCCGAATAATGTAAATAATGACAGATACCTCATCTCAGAAATATAGACAGATACTGAAAGGCCGAAACGTTGTAATAAATATGGCAACAAAGATGAGGACAATAGTCCGAATAATGTAAATAATGTACATAATACCTCATCTCAGAAATATAGACAGATACTGAAAGGCCGAAACGTTGTAATAAATATGGCAACAAAGATGAGGACAATAGTCCGAATAATGTAAATAATGTACATAATACCTCATCTCAGAAATATAGACAGATACTGAAAGGCCGAAACGTTTTAATAAATATGGCAACAAAGATGAGGACAATAGTCCGAATAATGTAAATAATGTACATAATACCTCATCTCAGAAATATAGACAGATACTGAAAGGCCGAAACGTTGTAATAAATATGGCAACAAAGATGAGGACAATAGTCCGAATAATGTAAATAATGTACATAATACCTCATCTCATCTCAAAGAAATATAGACAGATACTGAAATATAGGCCGAAACGTTGTAATAAATATGGCAACAAAGATGAGGACAATAGTCCGAATAATGTAAATAATGTACATAATACCTCATCTCAGAAATATAGACAGATACTGAAAGGCCGAAACGTTGTAATAAATATGGCAACAAAGATGAAGACAATAGTCCGAATAATGTAAATAATGTACATAATACCTCATCTCACAAATATAGAGAAGAAAAAGTATAAAGAAAAGAAACGAAAAGAAAGTCGCAATATCAACAGGGAAGAAGGAAACATGAACGGAAAAAGAAAAAAAAATGTTAATGAAAGAAAATAGAGAGGAAAACAAAGAATTTAGGAATGGAAAGAAAAATGGAATAGATGTTAAAGAAAAAAAAAAACGGAAAGAAAAATATAGTTCGAAAAGAAGGATCTGTAATATATTCGATCCTGACATGACATCTACACTTCAGTCACTTTCTCACCGACGTGACATGGTTTCCTCAACGTCTTTTCGACAAATATTTCCATGGCATCTGTTCTGACGAGCTTTTTTCAAGTGCATGAATTTAAGCGCGCTGCTAGACTGGCATATTGTTCCCACCCGTTTCCTATCGAAATAGCTAAACCCAACTGCCGCTACACCAACAGTTTCTTTTCTCGCACTTCTCATCTGTGGAACTCCCTTTCGTTTACTTGCTTCCTGAGTAACTACAAACTTCAAAATTTTAAATACAAAGTCAATCGCCATCTTCTGTCTTCCTTTTTTTGTCTTTTCCTCAATCCTCAATATTTTTCTCATATTCACTCAGTGTAACCCTCATGCGTACTAGTGGCATTCCAGCCTTACTTGGGTTGAAATGATTAGAAAAAAAGTTTGCAAATTAGAGATGAGGGGAACAGATACTGCATTTTGATCCCAGCCTGATGTCCCAGAAAAGAATAAAAACGTCATTTGTGTAGCACTGTCTTCTCGGTCAATGTATGCAGAACGTTTCCATATAAGGAAACAATCAATATCAACGTTACCATCAGAGGGGGAAAATACTGCACATTGATCCAAAGCGAGAACAGCGTAATTTTAATAATTGCTCTGTCATTGAATGCCGAATATTTCCTTATAAGGAAACGGTCAATCTTACCATTACTATTAAAGGAGAAAAATACTATACTTTGATCTCAGCCTGATGGGCAAGACGAGAGAAAAAAAAGCGTAATTGCTTAGAATGTTTCTTTATAAGGAAATAGCCAATATTACCATTACCATTAGAGTTTTAGATTAAGAAAAAGAAGAAAAACGATAAAAGATACGGCAAGAAGATAGTAATGAAACGCTGAAGCAAAAATGTAATTGGAAATAGAGGAAAAGAAAAGAAAAATAATAACATTAATTCCTAGGAAACGAAATGTGAAAAGCTAATGCAAATATATCGGCGTGGAGTAAACCCATAGCGTTGAAAATTAATAGACATCAACAAGCGGGCCAAGAATATTCCATTAAAACATGGGAGGCACCAAGGACGAAGGAAATACATTTTCTAATTCATCAGCCAATAAGAAAAAAAAAACAAAAAAAAAAAAACACATATAGTCAACGACAACCGATATTTAAAGTCTGTACGTCTTTATGTGACAGAAGTCCGGTGTATTAAATATTGATGCATCCCAGAAAACTGCGACCCTATGCAGTCAAGCTGGTCTTTCTTGATTTAGGACCGACTGAGATGAACATGAAAGCCACGGAGTCCAATCCGCTTTAGCAAACGCAAAATAGTTATTGGAACACTTATTCATTTTTTTGTCTCTACAGAGGAAAATAACAGTATATTTATTTGTGATGCATACAAAGTTAAAAGTTCTTAATGGATCCGATTTGGACTGGTACTAAAAAGGTCATACGGACATATTTTTCTATCAACATATATTTAATATCCGACAGACATCAATGTCCTGGGCATGACGATAAACTACATCCGGCAGCAAAGCCTCTGATCGGGAGGTTTTGACGAGTATGTAACCAACTCTTTATTGCTACTGTTCCCAGGTCCACACTGACCCAGCGTGGTAGCACCTGTTAGGGTCACAGCTATGGGCAAATATTTTACCCTCAAATTGGGTCAAAACACTATGAAAGTATAAAAATAATTTTTTATAGTAAAATTTTTATTTTTATAATGAAAATACCAGCTGTATATTTTTGAAAAAAAATAATACCTGCTATACATTTGACTCTTGGCAAATACTCTCTTTACAAAAATGTTAACAAAACCTGATCTACAAACTGATTTCTTACAAAGCTTTCCTACAAACCTATACTAAAAATATTGCCGGTATGAAGTGACCCATTGAGGTTGATATGCCGCAAAAGAAACTAAACTAAACCCACAGACACGAACGGCTCTAATATACCGTAATTACTCATGTATAATAAGCCTTCATCCATAATACGCACAGTTAAAACTGCGCTGAAAGTGTGGGAAACTGCTTCTACTCGCGCATAATACGCGCCCCTTGTTTGGTAATCAAACCTTATAAATTGTACCTCTTCAATTTCATTACGGCCAGCGTTTCCCACTCTTATTCAAACTATAATTGAAGATATTTATCAAAATTTCTGATCATCACGATTCAAAAAGAAACGGAAATACCTATATTGTGCCTACTGCGCACACTCATTAACCTGTTTTTGTTTGATCTGTATGTAGTTTTTCACAAAATTTGGTTTTAAACATAGAATATTATTATTCTAATTTAGTTTTATGCTAATTCTTATTATATTTTACATTTGCAAGTATTGTTAGGTACATATGACTGTATTTGACATCGTTTTGGGGTCACAATCGCCGAATTGTTGGTGTCAAATTGTCGTATGATGGTGAGTAGTCATTTCGCAACTGAAATCGACCTCAGCAATTATTTGAAGATTTTTTGTAGCTGTGTATAATACGCACTCCTAATTTTGCTTGTTACTTTTTAGAAATAAATGCTTATTACACATGTGGGCTTACGGTATATTTGTACAGGACCCGGCAAAAGTATCACTTTTTTATTCAAGCTGAGGTCGATAGGACGACGTGAAGCAATTAAGTGTCCATCACGATCACCAGACCTAACAGCACCAGACTTTTTCTTGGACTGAATGATCCTGTCTACAGGCTCAGACTTGAAACAATTTCCGAATTAAAACAATCAATGTTCTGAAATTAATGTAGAAATGTGTCAAATAGTTTGCAGAAGTGTTACTGGGAGTTTCTCAGCTTTGTATTGAACAGGAAGGGGAGAATGAAGATTACATTGAAGTTTAAATCAGATTGTCGCTAATTGGTTCTGATCCCAGTGGCCAATTTATATTTTATACTAGCAGCATGGCCCGGCGTTGCCCGTGCTTCATTCAAAAATCGTTCGATTTATACAGCAATAGCTATCACTTGAATTAAAATATTTTGTCCTTCCTTGCCTTTAAAGGAGTGCCCTTTGCCATGCTGATGTTGCTATATGCCTTACTTCTTGCCTATCTCACACTGCGAATTTTTTCTAAGATCTATGCTAAACATTAAATCTGTTACGAATAAAGAACTAAACAAAATGAACACAAAACGATCAGCTTTAAAAAAGAACTCCTAAGTGGAAAAACCGAATGAAAAAAAGAATGTTAACAAGAAATACTTTTTCACACACAACCCAGTTCTGCAGAATCAGGATCAACGTTGAGTTTAAGCAAGCGAATGAGCCAATTGGAGTAAAGTGCCATGCAGATTTAAATTTTTCCCACTTTTGACGAATGCAGCTATCGATTTTTTTTGTATGCTAGCATGCTAGTTAACATTCGTGTCAGTCAGCTGTAGGCTCTCACGCTGGCCAGTAGAATCTTCCTGCCTATTCGTGGCAGCTAGCTATTGGGTCTCACTCTGGCCAGTACAAAATGGCCGCAAAATACATGAAAACTGCCGTAGAAGCATGAATAATCGATTGTTTCGATGGGAGTTGGGAAATGCAACGTCGGTCTTGGCATTCACACTAACTTGGATCATGTGCATGTAAATTTTGGTGCAGATCCGTCGAAAATTGCGACCGTGCATTCGTTACACACACACACACACACACACACACACACACACACATCCTGACTTTTGTAGATAGAGATTTACATACACTCTTTCTCTGGTATTGCGAACTTTTATCCCCAAACATAACAGAATTTAAAACTTGTTTATCATATATATATATATATATATATATATATATATATATATATATATATATATTTCAGTTTCAGAAGTGAAGACTAATCATCGTCTGCCCATATATGGCAGCATTGATCTATTTCTGGCCTGATCTGGCTCTTGAAAAGGTAGAGGATATCAGATGTAACAGTGCGGTACAGGGAACACTTTCTCGGTATCTGTAGCAATGGATCGTAGGTACGAGTTCCACTTGAGGTCTGGGTTGACCTTAAAATCCCAATAGGTGCTCGAGGCGCGGTCCCTCTCTGAGGGAACACATGCTTATCACGATAGGCGAAAACTGGTAAGTTATCAAGTGAAGGAGCATTATGATGGAGAATCCATTTATCAGTCTAGAGTTTGGGTTTTTACTTTGAAACCGTTTCGACACTTGCAAATAAACATATTGATTAACACTCCCTGTGCTAAAAATTTATAGTAAATCATCCTTTTATAATCAAAGAGACACACTTGAAAGGTATAAACTAAGAGCAAGACGTGACATGGCTATTTATTTTTGGTTTCATTTGAGGTTAATTCTTTGTTTGGCACAGTCTCCTCTAAAGTTTTGTTTCCAGAATAAAGCTGGGTATTAAGTAGCGTATATTATATATTTAGGATAGATAACGGCTGAACATAGACTTGAAGAGGTAAATATCGTAGTGATTTGGAAAGCATCCTCTCGGGAGTCTGTTCCACAAAGTAACAATTTGAGGGAAGAAGCAGTTTAAGGGGAAATCCCTCCTTACCAATGGGATACGAAAAGAATGTGGATTTTAAAATGTAAGTTAAGATGAAAGCAGATGACCAAATGTCAGAATTTTCTGGCAGAAAATCTGAAAAACCATGAGTTAGGTGTGTTAAAATGAACATAGGGTGAATATAGTATTTTTCCCATTTACGTTTCATGCCTGTGGGTCATTCTTGATGGTCAAATTGAGACATTTTAAGTATTCATTCCGTGTTGAGACTGAAATTAAATAGAGATAGATAGTCTGTCTATATTTCTGAGATGAGGTATTATGTACATTATTTACATTATTCGGACTATTGTCCTCATCTTTTTCGTTGTACGCTCCGGCCTTCTTCAGGGTTCAGTTCGAAATTCTAACCACCTGAGGAAGGCCGGTGCGTACAACGGCCAAAACGTTGTGATAAATATGGCGACAAAGATGAGAAAATATCCGAATAAAAATATGAGAGATAAATAGATAGAAGATAATAGATAAATAATGAGATAGATAAGAACAGACATAGACAGATAACAGACATAGATAGATAGATAGATAGATAGATAGATAGTTATAATCAGACATATATATGAACAGACATAGATAGATAGATAGATATATATGAACAGACATAGATAGATAGATAGATAGATAGATAGATAAGAACAGACATAGACAGAGAGAGGGGGGAGAGATAATCAGACAGATATGAACAGGCATAGATAGATAGATAGATAGATAGAGAGAGAGAGAGAGAGAGAGATAATCAGACAGATATGAACAGGCATAGATAGATAGATATATATAGAGAGAGAGGGAGAAAGAGAGAGAGAGAGTGGGAGGGAGAGAGTTCAGACAGATATGAACAGGCATAGATAGATAGATAGATAGATAGATAGATAGATAGATAGATAATTTTAACTTAAATTGAAAAATAATGTTATTCTCAAGACTATGTAAAATAAACGGCTAAAGATAGCAAGAAGTAAACTAGGAAACTTTTATAAATCTAACATATTCTGCTTTAATTAAAGTTTCATCAGAATAAGGGCCATGGAAGACATTTTCTATTATTTTTTATTTTTGTGTTGTTTGATTTTTATTGGTTAAGCAGATTTCAGTTGCATTTGACTTGTGAAGCAGCATTTTGCGAAAAAAATCTGATGGTGTATTTACTAATTTGTTTTGGTCTAGGAAGCCGTTTATAGCTATTTTCTACTCTAGACTGTGTTTACAATTGTAGGAGTTACTTCTGCTGGCTAATGCGGTTTTCCTTATTTTCCATGATATTTTCGATCTAATTTGACTTTGCTTTATAATTTCCCATATATGCATTTTTGGAAGCAATGTGCGTATTTAATTTTTTAAAGTATTGTGTGCGTAGAATTTCTGTAACGAGGTTCCTTCATACATAAAGCAATAAATCTACTCCCCATAATGCACCATTCACCAATATATGTAAATAATCGATCTAAAATTTCATGGTCTGAAGGTTGAATTTAAGCATGAATAAAACTGTTCCCCTCTGTGTGTTAACTTCAGGGTTCATACCTATATACTATTTTGGTGGATTATTATTTTTTTTTTTTTTTTTTTGTCGGGTTCGGCTTTTTTAATCTTGGCCGGATAGGTTACTCTCCCGCTGGCGAGTTTGGTTGGCTCACAAGCTTGGACTCGCCTGTTGGTATAAGGGTGCCTATTTTAGGAACTACAGCCACCGACCGCCTGATTATTACGTGAAAGCGCATGAAACTATCAGTCGTGGCCGGTCATTGCCGACCTGGATTTTGACTTAAGATATATTAAAGCTATGACATGGTATTGAGAACTCTTTTTTCCAGTGTGCAATCTTAGGCATGAAACATATATATATGCACACACACAAAATATATATATATATATATATATATATATATATATATATATATATATATATATGTGTGTGTGTGTGTGTGTGTGTGTGTGTGTGTTTGTTTGTTTGTTTGCGCGTGTGTGAGACAGAGGGTAAGGGAACGATAGATAGATAGTGTAGAAAAATAAATAAAAAAGAATAAGATATACACAGATATGACGAAAGAAATAAGAAAGAAGGATATATAGATATAAAGAAAGAAGAAAGAAAGAAAGAGAGAAAAGCGAAGATAGATAGATAGATAGATAGATAGATAGATAGATAGATAGATAGATAGATACCTCTATAGTAATGGATTATTATTATTATTTATTTATTTTTTTATTTTTTTTTCCATGTCGACAATATAGTTAAATTCCTATAAAGGTAATTTACATTAACCAGAAAAAAGGCTTAGACACAAGCGTCTATCTTTTTAATTTTGAATTTTAATGTAACTATAACAACAAAAACATTTCGATTTCATTTTTGCATTGAAAAAGTCGGAAGACGAAATGCGTCGGCAAAATGTATGATTTTTTCCAATTGTCATTTGATACCAATCTGTCTTGTCCACGGAATTCATCTGGGAATTTAACTATATATATATATATATATATATATATATATATATAGAGATAGATAGATAGATAGATAGATAGATAGATAGATAGATAGATAGATAGATAGATAGATAAAAAGAACAAAAATGGAATGCAGGAGTTTAGATATATACGACGCAAAAATGAAGACTAGAAATAAATAAGTAAAGAAAGAAAGAAATGAAGAAAGAAAGAAAGAAAGAAAGAATGAAATACAGAAAAAGAAAGAAAGAAAGAAAGAATGAAAGAAAGCAATAAAGAAAGAAAGAAAGAAAGAAAGAAAAAATGAAGAAATAGAGGACGAAAGACAGAAATAAAGAAAAACGAATGAAATAAAGAAAAAATAAAGATAGAAAGAAAGAAAGAAATTAAGAAATAAAGAAAAAAAAAAGAAAGAAAGAAAGAATACAAAAAGAAGGAAAATAATTAAGGATAGATAGAAAAGGATGAAGCTGTGATGGCGTCAATTTTTCTCATAAACACGCTCGACTTCTGTTCGATCCCTTCTTATAATCAATATTCTCACGCACAAAGACGATTTAGTTTTGTAGGACACGAAACATTTTCGAACCACACAAAGAAGGCGCTAAGTCTCAAATTAGATTTTTCACCTTCACACAAACTTGTTTATGCCAGATTTTACGAAATCAAGTGACACCAT